GCACGCAACTACCCGGAAGGTAATTCTGTACCAAATTTCATCTTTCCCCACTAGCTCAATAAACCAGGACAAAAAAAAAACACTTAAAAACGTTGGCCCCAAGAAATATGCCCCCAGGGCATGGATCTAAAGTGTTGCATTTCTCCTGAACCCATCGTGTATGTAGGCACATGTATGGCACGTTTCAGCTTTCTATTTCTCTCCGCTTTACTCAAGCCACGGGACATGGAAGGCAAGAGAAGCCAAAACAAAAGGAATGGATTGAAAGGGAATTGAACCCTGGCCTCACGATTACGGATTGGATGCGCTATCACTACACCACCGAAACGGCGACACACGGATGCACTTCTCAAAGCCATCCTTATCCATGACGACATATATTTTTCAAAAACTTCTCCCCCCAAAATGTGTACCCCCAGGGCATGTATTTCAAAGGGAGATGTTTTCAAAAAATTTNCATGACGACATATATTTTTCAAAAACTTCTCCCCCCAAAATGTGTACCCCCAGGGCATGTACCTCCAAAGTCGGATTTTTTCTGAACTCCGCAACCCAAAAGGTACACGTGTACCAAGTTTCAGATTTCTAACCTATCTGGCACATGGTTTGAATTAGCGTCAGTCAGTCAGTCAGTCAGTCAGTCACGATCGCCTATATATATTAGATATGAATCTGCTTGATGATTGAAAGTATGTATCACCAGAAATGTGTCCCTCTCGTAAAACTTCCAGGGCAATATATAAAGTCCCTAACGAGGTAAAATTCAATTGTACGTATGTTTCATGTGTACATGATACAGGAAACCCAGTCCACAAGTAGCAGTAGCCTGAGTCATTGAATTCTGCCAGTGTCAGGTGGACATGAAGCTTGTAGTTACGAATGGGGCATTTTTAATGCTATGGATGACTTGAAACATCAATACTGATAATGTAAAGGTCATGGATCTCAACCGTGTTTCATTAATGCTACAGTATTCATCACATACAACTCCAGATTGTCAGATATGAATTTAACCGTAGAATTTTCCATTTTAGCCGCTCAGGAATTGCTCTAGTATGAACTAATTCACTATATAGAATCAAAGTATTCCAGAAAATGAGCTTTCTATACATATATAGGATGGTTCAAAAAGTCTTGGATGCAAAGGCTACCGTTGACATTTCGAATAACATTGGATGAAATAAAATTTTATTGCAGGTAAAACTCGAGTTAAAGTAGTTTCATGTCAAAATATGCTAATTTAGTTGAGCAATAACTCTCCCGTAACTGACAGCAAATTTCAAATTGCCCCCATCATCACTGATGTCCATAACACGCCATTTGAACATGTAGATCGCTTTGCTTATTCGGCTTGATCCAGGAGTTGCCAAGCCTCATTACCTCGCTCGATGAGGCGGTTTTCATCTGAAATGACCTCAATATACACATGTTGACATATTCTTTACTTACTTTTATGTAAGGAAAGAATATGTCAACATGTGTATATTAGCACCTTCACCTAGCACCATCGCGCTGTCTTTGTTATACTTGTGAGACGCTATTGAACAATGCTATTACCCACATCTCTCGGTAGCCGTTAGGACTGCAAGTCAGTCTCTCCCAGTGTCAGTAGTTCGGCATAAAGATGTTGTGCTGAGGATATCATCATGGCGGCGATCCATGGGCTGCATCCTTCCCTGCCCGCTCTAACACTTTGCTCAGTGCTGTTATTTTTCCCCCTCGAAGTTAGTGGCGAAGATCGATTCATGTATTACTGGAATAAGCTCATGAGCCTCCAGTGTTGCAAAACCGCCCTTCCCGAAGGTGCACAATCGCGGATTGCCAAACTCCCCTTCGTTCGAAAGAGAAGGCGAGGCAATCGGAGCGTCCTTCTACGTCGTCTCCGCGCGTGTGTTGTGGAAAATCTACCCTCGCCGATCATCGTGAGTGCAAATGTTCAAAGCTTGATTCCAAAGTTGCCGACATTTAAGGACCTTGTCAGCAGGAAACCATTCTCTGCTATTTGTGCACTCTGTTTGCAAGAGATATGGTTGACCTCTATAATGCCGGACTCTGCTCTCTCGATTCACGGCTATCTATAGTTTCGAGCAGATCGCAGACACTCATAGGGTGCCTGCACACCGGATCAGTCTAGTCTAGTCACTATTAGTCAGGTCAAAACGTTTAGAACCCAATAGCTCAACGTGGAATGACTGATACCGCCTTCACACCGAATCAGTCTAGTCTAGTCAAGCTGGGCGAGTCGTAGTGTGCATGCACACTAGTCTTCTTCAATCTGGTCTAGTAAAGTCATCTTTAGTCTAGTCAAAACTTTTACAGCTCCATTGCTAAACATGTTCTTTCTGATATCCACTTCACACCGCATCAGTCAAGTCTAGTCTAGTCCTCGTCAATCACGTTTAGTCAAGACGCAATAGGCACAGGCTCTATTTTTCCATCAGTCTTCATCAGTCTCTGTTGTGGTGTGGGATTTGAAGGCATGCGTGAAATGAGTTCCTAAGTGGAAGTACTGATATCTTTGCCTCGCGAAAGGCCTGAGATCTACGACACTGCCCACCCACATCATGCAAAAAGGACTGGAATGGAAGGAGATGGAAAGAAATAGAAACAGAAATGGGAGATCCAGGTGATTGTGTTATTTCAATGAAGTAAATATCATCCTACTGCAGAAATAAATCTGTTTTTTTTTTTCCTAACTTCCGATCAGATCAGATGTTGTATTAGCAGGAGTGTTCCCCAGTTTTTGCCTGAAAGTAATCTTTTTCAATTGGTCTCTGATAGCTAGAGCTACCATATCAGCTCGATTCGAGTGACGAAGTGGCTTCCCTCTCGTCGCAGCAGCAATATGATGAATTTCGTCATCATCCTTCTCACATGGGGGATTGTCTGATTCCATCTAAACGAAATTCTGAAGTACACATAATGCGAATTCTGAAGCGCATTGCATATATCGGTGACCATAACATTGAAGACGTGAAGGAATAATTTTAGAAGAAAATTCATCTCTCAGGAATCCAGCTATATGAGAAAATTCAAGAGGATTTCTTGCATCCCTTGCAATCGGAGTGGGCTCCCTTCCACCGTCATACTGGACCCGAAACAAGAAAGAGACTAATCTTCCCGAGAATCGGGATTTCCATATTTAGAAATAGCTTTCTCTTGAAATGCCAAAGAGTATCCCTTTTCTAACATTGTGACAACTGAAGTGATTCTTTTCTTCGTTTTTCCCTTTGATTCGACTGGTTCTTTTTATTTTTTAAAAGTTATTATTGTGTGGACACTGACGATCCGAATCTAGGCAAATGAACTTAATTACCTACTTACTTGTGCGGTGGTGTGAATTGGTTCCTTTGACGTTAGGCGAGCTCATCTCAGGATCTCTGAACTTTCAACTATTCAGCCCGGAAAAGGATAATGTAAAAATGCATTCAGAATTCTGAGACTAATAATCAGACCAAATCGTGAGCTTGTATTGCTTAGGCATAAATGTTTGCTGGCCATTTCGCAAAGGGATTCTCTTGCACAAGTCAAGTTTTCATTCTTAGATTACAACAACCATATGGGAGTTGTGAATAACATGTTGCAAACTTAGCCTCAGTGTTAACCCATAAAGCCGGTCATTAAAAAATTGAAGTACAATAACATACTGGACGACAGTGTCACTTCTTTCCGCCGAAGTAGATACGAGTATTCCATAGCGGACGTCACAGTGACGTCGAACACACTAGAAGGGTTAATGCAATACCTATTATATTAGGCGAGAATTACATCAGAGCATTTCCATGATTGATATTACTTCATCTCCATTTCTTTGTTTGAAATCACTTTTCACTGCACATTTCCATTAATTTTGTTTTAAATAAATTAAGCATAATATATGATAATAATTATTACTCAATGGTGAATAGTGTTGAACCCCTGTTGATTGACGTTGAAAACAGGTGAATCAACAGTGAATTCGGTTTCAATCCGAAAAAATCTTTTTCTTTATTGGATGTGGCCCCCAAATTCACCTAACAATCAATTCGGTGGAATATTATGTAAGGGAATAATGTGTAAACACGTATGTACTAAGGCCATTCGTGATGGAAGCCACCTCATTGAGTATGTTAACGAAGCTAAGTAACTTCTTGATCAAGATGAAATAATTAAAGCAATCAAGTGGCGAGTTTTCGTGCGCATTGATCACGATGGGAGCCACTTTGAAAATTTGCGATTATTGCTGTAAATGTTCCAACTAATGTAACATTCATTGACGTGAAGTGATGCTTTATGTAGAGTTTCACATGCATTAAAAAGTGATTTTATCCAGTAGTACTGACACATTAATTCACTTTGGGTTGAAGTCTTTTTGGGCCAATCTCTATATCAATCTGAAGCATCACCCTTAAGTTGAGAAGTAAACCTCAGTCAGAGTAACATAAAGGCTTCAAGAAGTGATTAATATTGATGCTACAATAGGAGGATATTATGAGTAGTTTTTGAATGGGATATTTGTAGGTATGAGTGAATCAGACAAAACTAGGGCAATTCCTAGGAAAACTCCCATTCCTGTTTTGGGGTGCATCTCTTGGGGATATATACATGTTGGTCCAAAATATATTGGACCACAAGGGTATGAATGAAAATGACGATACCAATCCACTGTATTAAATAAACTGCCATTGCTAATGAAGCAGTGGAAAAACGCTTGGAACCTCTTTCAAAGTAAGTCCTACGCGTTGAATAACCTTTGGAATTGACGATGAGACAGTGGGGGTGTTCAAAGCATTAGGCAATGCGTACGGTTTTATTCGAAAGATCCACGAAAAATGATTTGCACCATGAGTGCAGCACTCTGAAATTATTACTAAAGTTAATGGAACCAAGTGTTAAGCAAGAGAGCATGCAAAAGTAAAATAAGTAAAATTTAAAAGTCTAGAAACTGCCTTATATATTTTCGGCTAAGTGCTGAAAATATCTTATTTTTTTCCAAATGGAGTAAGAGGTTCGCCACTAACCTTTTAGGTCGTCACAAAGGTCTTTTGTGAGATGTCCACCTGCAAAGTTTAAAACAAGCACATCTGCACCATCCCTCCTTGCAAGGTGCTTTGCCCTCTCCTTTAAAACAAGAGTCTTCCCTGTGCCTGATGCTCCTGTTATAAGCAGACATGATGATTCTGCATGTACAAGTCTTTGCTGCTCCACTGTCAAAATCCATAACATTTTCTCCATTTGGACATTTGCAGCTTTGGAATATTCCAAATTAGTCCGGGGTAAGCCGACAGTAGAAGATGCACAGACGTAGAGTGAAAAAATGGCTCTAAAAAGTTTTTTGGCCGCAACTGAGCAATTTGACCTAAACGGGGGTAGTTCAACGCCATTTTTATGGAAAAAGTGTAGAAGAGCGTCAGGATCCTGGAGGTCATCTCTTGTCAATATCTTTGAGAGACATGATTTGCAATTTGTAACTGTACCCAAAGTCTTCCTGTCCAAACGAGGGAAGGATGGGAAAGCAGCAACTATCGCATTAGTATCAAGAAAGGGCCCACACACTAGAGTAAACACCATTCTGTCTTTCTCACACTTAGCAATTAACTCCTTCATTTTCCACATGATAGTCTTCCGATCCACGCACTCGCCTACTTGAAGGAAAATGTTGAGAACCTTGTCGCCAGCTGGGTAAGACAGCAGAATGCAATGAGACCCTTCTTCCAAGTTTGGAATGTCTTGGTGATCCATTGCCTTGAACATAAACACACTGTCATTGAATGTCTCAGAGAACTTGTAATCGGCAACCACCAATGATGGATGAGAGCTACACATATATTTCACTGCGTGGAAAACAGCGCCAATGGCTGCATAATCGCGAGGGGGATTCACATCGTTCCCAACATATTCCTTTGCCATATCATGAAGGAAATTGAAGTCTTTGCATCTGAGAATAAAGGAATGTGGGAGAGAATAATGAATTTCTCCAGCTTCGGGAAAATGTTCCTTAATATATGACATTTCCGCCACCTTGAATGGCTCCTTGGAGTTCTCGTTCAAGCAAACCTAGGGAAATGTCACCAAAGTCAACATTCGAAAGGTAGAAATATCAGCTTCGATCGAATGATTTCAGGACTGAAAGTATGCTAACCATTGGTATTTTCAGATTTAGTACAATACTGAAACGACAGCTTGGTGACAAAGACGCTTCCGCTGCACAATAATGAAATTGGGCTTCTGGAAATGTGTGGGAAAAGGTTGGCAGCCTGCATAAAGTGACGAATATTACTTATGAAAACATTCTGCACACAGGGTTCCATGGTGGCACAATAATGTGACTGACCATATAAACATATGGTGATGAAAAACAAGCAGCATATATTTATACGGCCAGCAATAAATACAAGTTATAACTTTTTTGTCAATTCATATTGACTCATGGAAAGGATTAACCAAAATCTTTTGAACTTTTGAAGTGGATGTACTCCTGGTTCTTGACAATTAATTTGTATCGTTCAACGCGATTTGTAGATTCATTACGCTATAAATAGTATTTAACGTAAGCGAAAATAGAAGAATCGGTTCCTTTTACAGATTAGAGTGGCCCTTTTGAATGTAGGCCTAGAGCAGCCGTATTCACACCTGCGGCCGCTGATGTTCTCATAATGGTCTCACTAAGAAATAGGTGAAAATTAATTAATCGGAAACGAAAGAAAAAAGTACATTACATATGGTTAAGCCAATTATTACATATGTTGTGCGACTTCTGGAATACCATGCATTTGATCCAGAATTAAAAGGCCAAGGCTCTTGGTAGAAATCTTTCAACATTCCAATCCGGCAGAGAGTCACTTGGAAAATTTGGACTAATAATGTGATTCATTCCACCTGTTTCGAGATTCAATATATCATTATTGATATTCTACATGGCATGGGAGGTTAGTGAGAGTTTTTACTTGAAAGACCTGCATGGATCCATATGACGGGTAGTTCCAAAAACCTGGACTAGGAAAAGTTTGAGTTGGACCAAGAACGCAAGGTTCTTTCACAACAAAACCGAATGCAGAGGAAACATGTAAAGTTTCAGCAGTTGCCCCCTTGCAGCTGCAAAAAAACTTTGCTAATAAATTCTACCTGCTCAAGCTGTATCATTTACTTAATTTCTGCTCATTCGCTGGAAGGAACCTATACGAGGAAATTTTTCATCAGATCAAATGAAAACTATAGCGTAACAGCACCTGCTGCTTCTGAATATCATATAATTGTAATGGCAATGGGATAAGGCGGGTACCAAAATCTTGTGATAATTCTTTCTCATGCAGCAGCAATTACCATAGGTGACCCAGTGAAAGGTGGGGAGGAATCAATTGTCGGCGATGGTGAACCCGCTTCAGCAAAATCTGGGAATTTTGCATTCCCGCTCTCAGGATCGATTCTGCCGTTTCATGCCAGGAACAGAAGGGTATGAGCGTTCAAAGATGTACAATTTAAATGAAACGCCCTGTATAAAGCATAACAAATATCTAATCAAAACTTTATTTTCACTGTGATAACCATGATTAATGAATCCTATCACGTCACTCTCATCTTTAGCTATAAGGAATTGCCTTTGGTTCTGACCTTTAGGTAGTCCCGGATATCAATGTCACCCCTTCTCTGGCAGTTGGTTGGTGAAGCAACATGAAGATCAAGGCAAAACTGACACGTTTTCCCACTATGAAGTAAAAAATAATGAAACGGAATTTTCGTGTTCGTCAATGACAAAGCGATTTTTTTCCTGAAAGGAAAATCAATGAATGAGTGTTATGAATGAATATTTTAAACGAGTGTTAGTCGCAAGACTAAATGACCAGCTTTTATTCAAATTTAAGTTTGAGAAAGCTAGATGAGCCTCAATCCCTTAAAACCTTCAATTTCGTGCACTGAACTTCACTTCTTCACTTATTGCTTCACACCTTCCTGACTTGTTGGTCTTTTCCCGAAAAAATGGAGGATGGGATATTCCAACTGGTGGGATATGTGGGACGCCTCCAAATTTGACAGGTACTACAGTAGGTACATTGAGTGCCAACATTAAAAGAAAAGTAATAGGGCAATATCTTGCACGTAAGAGAAACATATGATATATTGGGCTTTTCTTGGCAAACAAGAGAGTACCAAATACATTGCCAATATTGGACCATTCTTCCCCCGAGTAATCACCGAGTTCTTGGGAAGGGTTATTTTTGGGAATATGAATTTATTTATTGATCTTGGCCCTATGAATCTGTCTCGAATATTAGGATAAGAAGAAATTAAGTGCCCATTGTTCATTGATTCCTATGTTAGACAAGGGAGACATATGACAATGTCATCAGCATTCCTGTGCGGGACGATTCCTAGGAAAGGAAGAAAGGCACTTTGTGTACTTTTCGAAAAGTAAAACCTACACGTCCATCTCGTGGCATAGAGGACAACTTTGCAATTTCCCTAAAATTCTGAGGAATAATAATAAGGATAATGAAAGGAATCCGCAGATACGTGGAAAGCAAAATAAAATTATGAAAACGTGACAGATTTATGAAAGCGTTCTTTCAGAGCCTAAGTACTCATGTTCAATATTGTCTAATATATATAGACGATCGTGACTGACTGATGACGCTAGTTCTAATCATGTTATAAAAAGGTTAGAAATCACAAATTCGTACATATGTACCTTTTTGGATGCAGAGTTCAGGAAAAATCCGACTTTGGAGATATACGAGCTGGAGGTACACATTTTTGGGGAGAAAAGTTAGAAAAAAATATGTATATCTAAATATAATAATAATAATAAATATATAAATATATATATAAATTTAAAATTCCCACAGAAGTACCTATTCGATGGCTCAGTGCAGGAAAAATCATACTTTTGAAATATGTCCCCTCAGCTTACATTATAAGAGGGAAGTATTTAAAAATGTATTCTCCACCCCAATAAAAAGGGACTAAAATAAAATATTTCAAGCTAGGCACGCTAAAAATCATAGAAGTAACGATTTTGATGAAAAAGGAAGACTTTCGTCCCCATGAGTCATGTATTGATATGTCAATGGGAACGTACTTTAAATACGTGTTTGCCATTTCGCAAGGAGTAAATGAATTAATCACTATCTAAGGTAATTTAGCACCGAAGGCGCGACTATAGCGAGTTTGCTTAAAACTCGCTTGTTTAAAATGTTCTTGAAATAGAATGGCCAGGACACTCAACCCTGAATGCTAATTACAGACACCTGAAACTCTTATCTGTGGTCCCTATCGTCACTAGAACTTTGTTGTAACTCATCCATATAAATTGTATACTAGGTCACACCCACGTCCCGCAGGATCCGCTTCGCTGGTAACAAACTTTTCAATACTCATCAATAACTCAGGTCAAATTTGGAATTAGTAAAAAAGAGAAAGTAAGTTATTAAAGGGATATGATTCGAATTTCAAAGTTTCAATTTTTTAAAATGAATAATAGGGGATGCAATAGGGGATACAAATGCAAAGCTCCGCCCATCATTCCTTTGAAAATAAAAAAAAATAGGTTTAGAAAGTGTTGCAAGACTTTCTTTCCAACCCAATATATTACTTTAATTCGAAAAGGTCAAAAGTTGTGGTAGTGGTGGCGAGGGCCGTCACCCCCAAACGCGCGGGCCTACGATGCTATGCCATTCTGAGTCATAGGCCAGGCCTATTACAAGGCTATATCTGGTCTATGCCTGAGAGTAGTGGTGATGGTTGTCACGACAACGCGCAAGGCCTACGAGACTATGTCACTTCAGGCCATGGACTAGGCCATCCACCAATCAAATAGCCAGGTCTGTAGGGCTATACCGTCCTAAGCCATGGGCTATGCCATCGACCGCTCAAAGCGCCAGGTCCATGTTGCTATGCTATTCTATGCCATAGGCTTGGCCATCCAACGCTTTTAGCGCCAGATCCGTCGGGCTATATTAGCATCGCTTCCATGCAATAGTTTTCTATTTGCGTTTCATGTGGATTCATTGTTTTGAGTTCTCTCGATTGATTAACTCAACATAATCACACAAGTTCTTTGTTTCATATGTCGCGAAAGGGGCCCGCTCATCAAAATGATGGCAATATTTGAGAGGTGAGGTTGAAAGCAAAGAAAAAATGTTTTTAGGTCCGAAGGACGGCGATGAGGCAGCAGCTGCAGATAAAAAAACGATTGGTGCTGGCGCGGAAACAACCTTTGCCACTGTAGTTGCGATGCGAAGTGCCTAAATCGGTGCTTTAGAAGATGCCAGCCGAAATGGCTAGAATGAATGAACAGCAAGGGGCAGCGAATGCTGAGCTCAGGAATAGGAGAGCCATGGAGCCTGCTGAGCAACTTGAAGCAAGGAATGCAGCATTCAGGTGTCGGCCGAGGGGCGGCCGAGAATTGAACCCGGACCTCCAGCTTGCCGGTCAGGTGTGTTACACCTTACACCGCGAATCTCGGGACATTGTTCATGTCCTCTCCATGTCATCTCAATAATTACAGTCGTTTGCCGCAGCGAACACTGTCAGGCTGTACATTTTCCTGTAGGGAGGGGGCATTTGTTTCATATTGCTGCCACAACAGAAAAGTGCTCCTGCTGCAACTCACACTTTACCCTGAGGCTCTAAAAGTGTTTCTCACTGGTGCTAATGTGGGGGCGAGGCATTTTCAAGAATTATTCATTAGTATTGTGCCGCACATGCGCTACCTTCATTCTGTGCTAAATTCGAACAAGTTCTTGGAAATGGCCCGTACTGTTTCAGAATCAGTGGTATCTGTACCATAAGGTAATGCTAACAGCCCGTGAACTGATCAGTGATACAAGAGTATTGAATGTGCTGGGACATAGCCGGCACCTTCACACATGAGCTCGTGAATTCCCGAGAAACAGTTCTTGAAAGATATTCCCAAAAACGTTCAGCCAGGATTCATCAGCG